GTGCTAAAATATCAACAAATTATTTAACAGATCTGTTTCAATTTAAAGAAGATTTGGATTCCAAAGCACTTTCAGTACAAAGGCAGTTTTATTCTGGCATTTGTGGCCATGTTATTGTGACGTACAACCCAATTTTACCCCGTTAACATACTTTACAAAAGTCAACTGCAATCATTTTCATGGAAAAGAAAAAGATTAGCATTAAAATTGGGAACAGAAGGGCACAGAAAAAAAAAACCCTGATCCACCACTTTGCAAAACACAGGCAGCAACACTTCACCAGTGACAACTTCTGAGGACACAGACCTTCAAAAAGGAACATCATTTTAAAGATGTGCTTTGATGTAACTTTTTGCATTTTGAAAATACTGATCCGTTTTATACGTTCGATATAAATCTAGCTGCATCAAAATTAACAGCATGTCGTCTAACTTCATGCGAGTTATATGTCACAGCAAGAGGAGTGGAAAGCTCCCCAACAGAGAGGAGGAATGTTTGTCTGGAAGTGGGGAAAAGTCTGGCAGTGTTACACATTCAGTGTATGGTGCCTAAATGAAAATGTGAGGCATGTGTAGATATGACAAGCAGAATTAAATAAACCATATGGTAACAATGAGGTGTTATTCACAAGGATGGAGGGTTTCGTGTCTGATACATATCTATTGTGCGCTGAATTTCCTGCATTCGCTCTGGCCTGTTTGTTTTTCCATTTCCAATCTTTCTTTGGTTTCTTTCTCCAACAGACGGTTCATACCTAGCATGACAGCAAAATGGTGATGTTATCTGTGTGACTAAATAACAGCTGAACCCAAGGGAAACCGCATGAGAATGTTTTCCATGGCAGGAAGGAGCGAGAAGCTCTTCTGACACGATGAGGGACATTTTGAAATGTTGAAAACATTCTCAAGATTACGCTACATAGTTCATTGCACAAAAGGGGCTGGGGGAGAAACAAACATAAGATTACACAATTTTTAAAATCTGTCAAAAGGTTTAACACAAAAATGGGAGTAAAACAACCCTGGAGATTATAGAATTAATTACTTTTTATCAGCTTGATATTTTCTTCTCCATTATCAGTGCTGGCCTTTAATGAATTCATGTTGACTATTTATTTGCAAAATAAAAGAGTAAAGATAACGTTTTACTCTGACTTGGTGGAGTTTTCCACCAAACTGCTTCAAGTTCTTCATCTATCAGGATTGCAAAGCATTTACAAGCACAGCTGGTTGTTAAAGACATGGTTGTTTATAACTTAAAGGGATGAAGTTTCATAGTATACCTATAAAAACTCACATAAAAATCCCAATTATTATTTCAAAATAAAGCATTACATGCAAGCTTTCATCCTGATATTGTTTTCTTAATTGTTTTTAAGCCTGAAAACAACATTTGCACGGGGCACACTCAGTAGACGATTAACATTTAGCATGCAGACGCAATCTGCAGGAAAAATGTATTAAAGCATCCATTAATTCTGCAGTGTCTGTTACTTGAGCTCCTCCTTCAACTAAAACTACAATTCCTTTGTGTTCAGAGTGCTGGCCTGGTCACCGTTGGCATCCAATGTATTGTCACTTTTTCACACTCAATCTTGGACTTTTCCCCTCTTTCTTTCACACCTCCACTGGTAAAAACGAGTCGCTTATTTGCTTGTTGCACACATACAAAAAAGTTAAATATGTCTTAAAAATGGACCTAAGTGTAAAACAAAGAAATAAAATTTGTTAAACAAGGAGGGCACCATAAGTTAACCAAAAGGCCTCTATATCCATTTAAGATTAGCTACTCATACTGTATGACTGGAACCCTCATGTTGGAAAACAACTTGTTCATAATTTCAATAATTAAATAAAAAAAAAATCCAGCTGATATGGATGTGCAATATTTATACCGCCTTAATATCTGTTAACCAATCTTGTAATATATAACAGAGAGATAGGAAGAGGCAGTGAGAGAGTGATGGACAGAGTGGAAGAGAAATTAAGTTCCTTATCCGTGGAAACCAAAAAGTCCCACTCTTGAAAAAGGTTTGTCTGAAATTATTGCCTTAAAAACATCCCTATCTGTTAGACCAGCATTTAAACTGTAAGTAATTTGAAAAAAAGTTAAAGCATATACTTAAATCTATGCTTATTTGTACTGATTCAGTTCTGAACCTGAAGTAAATATTGAATATAAAGCAGATCCCTTGCAGCAGACAGAGAATAAGAGCTTACAGGCAGGTTTCACTTATCTTCTGTTTAAAGTCGTAGGGAAGCGGCCGTTCCAACTGTTGCATTTCTGAATTCTCCCGAGCGGTGCTTGACTTTACACAAGTTAATGAAGTGAATGTGATTGGTCGTTTATCAAGGGGGCGGGGTTGTTGTGGTGGAAGGTTGGCAAGCATGTCTGGTTGTGGCCGGTTTCTGCTAATGAGTTAGCAACTTTGTGCTAGTAGGTTCCCAATGGGAAATTCCATTGGGACCAAGTAGCACTAAATTGGTGACTTAGAAACGACACTGTTAAGGAACACTATGGACAGAGGAAACATGAAAGAGGAGAAGAGTCTTGTGTCGGAGGTCGTGGATGAGTCTCCTCCATTATTCAGTTTTTATTTAGAGGAGGAAATCGGGGACGAAGATGTTGTGGAAGAGGACGCCAGGGCGGCAGAAGCTTGGTTTGGTGTAGAAGGCTTACAGCCGTACATGTTTGAGCCCTTGCCTCGCAACGCTGCCAGTTCTGTTAGCTCTACTCCTGCTGAAGACACAGACTTTCATCCCCGTGATCACTGAGACAGAACTCAATGGGAAAGGAAATGATTCTTATTTCAACCGTTGCGAATATTAACTACGACATATGAATCAAGATAAAAAATGTGACTGACAGCTGACCATTGATATATGATTGGCCGGATTTAGGTGTACAAGCTGACTTACAACTAACTGGCCTGCATAAGAAACCGAAGAAAAAACACAGATTTTAAGACAGGATTAAAAAAAAATAATAATACATTTTCTAAATTTGGGGACAATATAGTCTGATAAAGAGTAAATTTACATAAATGTTTAAGTCAGAATAATATGACATTTAAATATGATTTTCCTACAACTTTAATGTAGAACAGTTTGTTTTACTATTTTTATTATTGCACAGCATGCAGCCGAACCTTTTATAGCAAATAACAGTCTTGACACTGAAGTCTGAGACACTGAAGTTCACAGACAAATGGACCAAAAACAAAGAGTTAAACACAGAAATAATAAAAGCCAACAGGGTGCTGAAATCTAATCAAAAAGCATTAGTTTGTGATCAGAGTGAGCAACTCTGAGAAATTTGTAAAGTCATATTGTGTGACTGGACCCCTTAATGGGGGGATATAGGATCTATTTATAGGGATAGGGGGATAAATGTCATTTGTATGGATAAACATCATTGTTTATGTGCTATAATACTTTCCAAAAACACATAATAGAGCAAGAGGGGAATAAAGCAACAATAATAGTGGTCTGATTTTGCTGTGCAGTGAAAGTGAGAGCTTGAATCTTTGGCAGATTAGAGCTGATTAATAAATAAATTAACTCAGTAAAGCTGTAGTTTAACAGCTTTGGAGTTTTTAAATTTCATGTTCACAGACATTACACGGACGGATAACATCGAAAAGGTTGGAACACAAACCGATAAGGAGTAAAATCGTAATTTCTGTTAATTTTTGCCTTTTAAACATAAAAACCCCAGGGTGTATTTAATATTTGTTAAACTGCTTGAAAAGCATTATATTTAAGTGTCACTGCTATTTTTTTTAAACTACAAAGCCTGTAAATTTGCATACCTAAAAAAAATTCTTAAACATTTAATTTGCTTTATTGCTCTTTCAGTATAAACACTAAACATAATAATCACAACTTCCCAAATTTATTGTAATTGAGTGACTTGAATGACTGGTCCCACCACGCACACACCAAAATGCCGTTTTCAGATCTGTAGCACTGTGGATTAATTGTTTATATAATTTATTAACTACAATTATACTTTCTTAATTTAAAATTTAAACTGCAAGCTGCATTCAATCTTCTCATAGCACCAAAGTCATAAAAAAAAACATCAAGATTTAAGATTACTTATTAAGTTACTTTGACTAGTAAGTACCTACTCTGATTGGACATTAATGGAGTAATAACTCGGTTACTTTTTAGGACAAGTAACTATAACTAGTTACTTTTGTTAAGCCACTTTCCAAACACTGGTAAGGACACAATGTGATGAGGCCATCTTTGAGGCAGCGGTTACCAAAGATGAGGTTAGGACCCCACTATTTACTCATAAAATCCGGAGACTTAAACATTGAACTATGATTGTAATATGAATATGTATCTTTTATACTTTAAAACAAATAAACTGTCAAACTTGATTTAAAAAATCCCAAACATGATATCGATGGCAGATGCTTTACCGTTCCGTTTTAATGTTATAACGGACTTTCTGGAATGATCATATAAACAGTTGTTTTTCTGGGTTGCAAGTTAATGTTAAAGTTTAGAAATTCAGTAAAATCATGTTGATCGGCACCATAAGTTAATAAAAACACTAGAAATGTAATTAAGTCCCAGTTTTGCAATAACTTCCCAGTTTCAAAACAAACACTAAAATAACATTCTTCATCCTTAAAGGGACATCAGGATAAAGTAAAGTTGGTGTTAGCAGATTAAGCTTTTACATAATCTTGCATTGAAGGAATTGTTTTTGTGACAATGTACCTCAAACCTTCTTTGTCAGTAAAGGTTTAATCTTGTATATTTATGGGAAGTGAAGATGGAACTGAACGGTCTTTAAACAATAACTAAATACCCTCAAATTAAAGCTGCATATGACAATAAATGTTCTATATTACAAAGTACAACCAAAAAGAAAAAGTAATGAAGTAAAAGATTTTCCTATAAATTAGCTTCCATTTTGATGCATTAGGTTGACACTAATGGCCTGTGCTCTTTTCCTTTTTTTTCACATGCTTTATTACTCACAGGGGGCATAGAACATGATCAGGGCTGCAGGATGTTCCTCCAGGAAGCTGTCAAAGGACTCATCGGTCAGGTGGAAGACTGGCGAGTCCGTTTCCGACCACTGCACCTCAGGAGTCTTTGGCTGGGGGGGCTGTGGGCTGGAACATGAGGGGAACACAGCATGAAACTGAGACACACGTTTTTATGAAATGAATGTAATACAGCCAGCTTCTATTATGCAGGGGCAAAATACACACACACATACACATATGTAAAATAAAAAAAACTAATCAAACACAGCTGAAGTCTACACTCCACCCAAAATGTCTCAAAACGCACGCATGCACACAAAGACACGGCCCCTCCTAGATGACAGGGCTAAGCTCTGCAGTGCCAAGAGTAGACAACATGCTCTCTGAAGAAAAGCACACACGAAAAGTATGTCTAAAAGAAACAAATGGAGGCTTTTTATGAAACCACGCAGTGAAGCTTTCAGCCAATGCGGCAACATGAGGCGGTTAAACACGCATAAACAAAAGAAGAGCTGAAGCTCTCAAGTGTAGTTCCACCAAGTCATCCATCTGGCGTTCAGTTCCGTCTTCGGTTGTTGGACAATAATTCTGGATCTAAATATTTGGAGTCAAGTTCTGCATTTTTAACTGTTTACTAAACAAGTTCAACAGTTACAAGAAACGTATGAGCAGAAAAATGAGAAACTGCAACTTCTTCATGGTTAGAACTGACAAATACGGCTGAACTCCAAGCGTCTTGTGTTCAGATGGCGGGTGCTTCCGCTTTAATTATTCTCTAATTAAGCAAGAAAAAGGTCTCGAGGTATTTTCAAGTGTGACATTTGCATTAGACACAGCACAAAGTCAAACAAGCTCTGAAACAGCCCATAATTAGTCTGCAGAAACAAAGCGAATCCATCAAAGAGAAAACCTGGGAGCTTTAAGCACAAGCAAATATTTTTTTTATATCCAGAGAAAAAGAGATTCACTGAGTGAGCTCAGTTGCAGCAAGGGCCACAGTATCAGCTGAAGTAAACAACTTTGCAAGATGGTAAAATCTATAAAGTTTGTTGAAAAGAACCTCTTCAGAGAAACCAACCAAGTGAAGCGGACTTTCTGGGAAGTAGATGTATTGTTTTCTTAAAGTCAAAAACCTGAAAAGCTACACCAGATCAAATGCAGAGAGATCACTGCATGGAAAAATGGGTTCATAAACCTCAGGAAGAGAAAGCCAAGATTAACCTGCATCAACGTTAAGCTTAAGCAAATTTAAAAACATTTCAGAAAAGAACTGGAACCCTCTGAAACAGGCATGGTTATGATTTGCATTGATTTATCGAAGGAAGGGTCTGAAACATTCAGTATGAGCGACTAAAATTATGAAAAAAATTAATAGATAAAGATAAATTTAATAGATAAATAATAATAGATAGATATAATAGATACATTTAATAAATAAATAGATAAATACACATAACTTTATAAATGAATAGAGAAATATGTAGAAAAATAAATCAGGGTTTATACAGGAATAAGCAACTCTAATTTAATGCTTTTTAATGCTCTTAGAAATAATTTTAGGGCCATCAACAAGTACCCATTATTGTCATATAAACACGGCAAAATCCTTCATCATCTTTACCATCGACAGGCTGCAGCCATGTCCCAAATTCCTCGTTTTCCAGCCCAAAGTTAGCATTTTCCCATTCTCTAGCTTCTTCTGCGCCTAGAGCTATTTTTCTGAACATACGATTTTACGATCAACCAGAAGCAGTTCCGCACAAATATATCGCAATATATCTGCTGAAATTGTTTTTAGAAACTTTTTTTTTTATAAAGAATTTTAAATGCCACCATATTCACATTTAATGAATTTTAATGCCAATTCAGGCCTTAATTAAAAAAAAAAAATTAATGACTTTTAAAGATTTTGAATGACCTGCGGAAACCCTTTAAATACATATATGAATGGAGAAAAGGAGAAAAATCCTAAAGAATTAGCCTTTTTAATGACCAAAACATTTAACTATTTAAACACCGAAATTTCCCCATTGTGGGACAATAAAGGGATTTTCCATTCTATTCTAGTTATTTATACACTCACCAGCCACTTTATTAGGTACACCTGTCCAACTGCTCGTTAACACTTAATTTCTAAGCAGCCAATCACATGGCGGCAACTCAGTGCATTTAGGCGTGTAGACATGGTCAAGACAATCTCCTGCAGTTCAAACCGAGCATCAGTATGGGGAAGAAAGGTGATTCGAGTGACTTTGAACGTGGCATGATTGTTGGTGCCAGAAGGGCTGGTCTGAGTATTTCAGAAACTGCTGATCTACTGGGATTTTCACGCACAACCATCTCTAGGGTTTACAGAGAATGGTCCGAAAAAGAAAAAACATCCAGTGAGCGGCAGTTCTGTGGGCGGAAATGCCTTGTTGATGCCAGAGGTCAGAGGAGAATGGCCAGACTGGTTCAAGCTGATAGAAGGGCAACAGTGACTCAAATAACCACCCGTTACAACCAAGGTGGGCAGAAGAGCATCTCTGAACGCACAGTACGTCGAACTTTGAGGCAGATGGGCTACAGCAGCAGAAGACCACACCGGGTGCCACTCCTTTCAGCTAAGAACAGGAAACTGAGGCTACAATTTGCACAACAAGCTCATCGAAATTGGACAATAAAAGATTGGAAAAACGTTGCCTGGTCTGATGAGTCTCGATTTCTGCTGCGACATTCGGATGGTAGGGTCAGAATTTGGCGTCTACAACATGAAAGCATGGATCCATCCTGCCTTGTATCAACGGTTCAGGCTGGTGGTGGTGGTGTCATGGTGTGGGGAATATTTTCTTGGCACTCTTTGGGGCCCTTGGTACCAATTGAGCATCGTTGCAACACCACAGCCTACCTGAGTATTGTTGCTGACCATGTCCATCCCTTTATGACCACAATGTACCCAACTTCTGATGGCTACTTTCAGCAGGATAATGCGCCATGTCATAAAGCTGGAATCATCTCAGACTGGTTTCTTAAACATGACAATGAGTTCACTGTACTCAAATGGCCTCCACAGTCACCAGATCTCAATCCAATAGAGCATCTTTGGGATGTGGTGGAACGGGAGATTCGCATCATGGATGTGCAGCCGACAAATCTGCGGCAACTGTGTGATGCCATCATGTCAATATGGACCAAACTCCCTGAGGAATGCTTCCAGCACCTTGCTGAATCTATGCCACGAAGAATTGAGGCAGTTCTGAAGGCAAAAGGGGGTCCAACCCGTTACTAGCATGGGGTACCTAATAAAGTGGCCGGTGAGTGTATAATTAAATGTATATTTTCTCCTATATGTGTATTCATACATTAATTTATTTCTTCCCACTTTATTTTTTACATTTCCACAATTATTTATTTCTTGTTTCGTATGTTAATGAGATGGTTGGTTTAACATTTGTCTTCAGTACGATTGGATAACTGGGAGAATCACACAGAAGCAGTTGTAATGATATAAACAGTTCAAACAAATTAATCTGGGCAAACATAAAATAACTTTTATCTTAAATTCCTGAAATCAAATTAAAGAGGACTGGTTTATACAAGAGAGAATTTTCTCTACTTTTTAGCTGAAATCCTTGCTTATTGGTCTATGAACGCCCTGTCACGTGTTTAATCAATCTGTGTTGATCTAGACATGGTCTTCTTATTTACAGCTTGTGTGATTAGATGAAGGAAGATCAGTATTTAATTTAAGACCTAATTGTCTTAGGACTGAGTATATTACTTTGGCCAGGACTTTAATGGAAATTTATCAGAATGTAGGTCAAGCTGCCATCAGTTGGAGTCACTCATCCTACAGAAGGGAATTTTCATCAGTGCAGATGGAGTGTCTGCATAGTGTAGCATTAGATTGTCTTTTTTTGTAAATAGAGCAACTTGTATTAATCAGAAAAGCCTTTACTTACAGTATGATAAGTTTGCTTTCCAGGATATGAAAAAAACAACATTAAATGGCTTTTTTTATTTGTCTAAAACTTGATGCAGGAAAAAGAAAAATCAATAGTTTACAGAAGTTTTCGTCATTGACCTTGTTAGAGTTAGCTTATCTTGAACCGTTGTTTCTACCTGCATAAGACAATGACTTGTGCAAGTAGGGAAGCAGAGAAAGCAAAAGGGAGAGGGAAGTTAAAAGATAAGACAAAACTGCTGAAACTGATGTTTTGTGAAACTTAATCAAAAGTTGAGAACTGTAACTGGGACAAAAAAAACTGAAAATAGAGCTGGGGAACAAAAAAAAGAACAGATCCTGTGAAGGTTTTTAGTAGCCTACTGCTTATATCAAAAACGCTTCATCTCTACAACAAAACAAAAATCCTTAGAGATGACAAACTACAAATGTGATCGAGTTTTACCAAGGATTAAAAATATTTATAATTATCTAATTTTCAAGGTGAGTATCGGTAAATTATTCTGCAAAGTCCTCAATGAAACGGTGAAGGAGACAATATAGGCTTTGGGTTAAAAAGAGGTGAAGTAATTCTTAACAGATTATGAAAACTTTTTCCAACACATTTCTCATTCCACATGTAGGGAGGTAGAATAGACAGAAGGAGAAGACAAGGTAGGAAATATAGGAAGGAAAGAAGTAGATAAGAAATGAAGAATGCAATAAAGGAACCAAGGATTGGAAGAAACTAGATTTATACAGACTACAAAGAACCTCCATAATCACATCACAAGTCAGAATATCCATATGTAGGATTATCAAATAGTTGAACATGACAGCTTGACCTGACTTACAGTGTACTGCACCATTTTAAACCAATCTTTATAAACCTAATAGTTATTTTTCCAGGGCTGAAAAGACCAGCTTGAATGCACCTCCTTTCAGACTCACACTGTTTCTCGCTATAGCTGTGAAGTCTTGATTTGTACCTTCTGGTTGCAGCTCTGAAATGTGCTATAGCTTACCCTTCAGACAAAGAAAGGGACTTTTAGGCAGAGATGTTGAGACAAGGTGGCAAAAAAGAGATGAGGGGGAAGCAGGTGTAGATTGATGACAACATGACAAGGTGAGTCAGAGGATTCAAGGCAAGAAAGGTGTGATGAAGATCAAACCACAGAAACGAAGGTGATGACTGATAATAAAAGGTTAGGGCAACGTGATACTACAAAGCCTTAAGGAGCCGCCCTCCTCTCTGAGGCTCTAATGCTGGGTTTCATTAATCAGATTGGTAGGATGGAAAACATATGGGTATAATAGGCTTATAGCTGGACCCACTCTTAAAAAAAAAAAAAAACTAAGAAAAGCACCATACTCACTTCTTCAGCCAGTCTGCTATGTCCTTGGGTGTAGCTCCATAGTTTTCATAGTGATGAAGGAATTTCCCTTTCCTGAAAAATAAGAAGATCTCTGTTTAACTTTAAGTCACCAACTGAACAAATTTTACTTGTAATAAATAAATTAAAAATAAGACAAAAAAAAGGAAATGGAGCATCTTTCTGTTGATAAATTAAGTTTGTTAAAGCCTTTAAATAAATCTGAAAGCTTGTAAGGATCCTTAGTTGAAGGTGATTTCAGCTAAATAACTAACCCAACGATTAGTTTTAAATTAAAAGACTAAAGAAATAACACGCTAACAGGTGGATTCATCCGTTAAGGGGAGCTGCTGATAGACCTTCAACCTGCAACATTTAATCACCATCCTATGGTCACAAGGGAGGGAAGAAACTTACCAATGAATGGAGGCAGAATAGGAATGAGAAAATATTAGTTGTAGTAGATTTATTTATTTATTTTAGTGCTGTCAATCGATTACATTTTTTTAATCGCGATTAATCGCATCAATGCCTGAGTTAACTCACGATTAATCGCATTTTAATCGCAAATTTTTTTTCTGATTGAAAATCATTTAAATACTCTCGATGACATACAAAAAATACATACAGGCTAGGTTTGTGCCAATGTTCTTTTTTTAAAATGAAAACAGGTCACAGACACTGATTTATGCCATAGAAACATATGGCAAGAAGATGGGGAGGCATGTAGCAAAAAATAACAAATATGTAGGCAAAAAAAAGGCCCTGAAAACAGGCTGATGTAAAAGACAGTCTTTACAGTTAATACAGTCTTGTGAACAAAGACAAGCATTTTACCCTACTGCTATAAAATGTAGTACAGTTAACATTAGATGTTAATTAACCAAGATAATAATGAACAATTTTCAATCAATACATCAAAATCAATAGACCGACATCACTAGATGGAGGTAGTCTATGCTCTAGAAAGTTACTTTTCAGCCTCTTAACAAAAATGAGAACACACACACACCCACCAACACACACACGATACCGACCTGTGGCGTACACAGACGGCAAGAGTGCCGTAGCAGATTCCATTTCACCTCAGTAATCTGTTTTCTCAGCGTATTTCAGGTTGCTACTAGTTACCAGACACTCAACTTGTTTGTTGGTGGTTGGGCTTAAAGAAAAGGCACTAGCGCTACCCAGTGTATGAGCGTCTTTTTCCCTTGAGGAGCTCCGCTCTCGAAGCCTATGAGAAATGCATACACTGGGGGAAAATAGCCCCGCCTTCCCGCAGGCTGCAGCGGGATGTACTTGGAAAATTGTACCATAAAACCACATAGCGTTAATCTCACGTTAAAAATATTATTGCCGTTAAAATGGCCTCTCGTTAACGCGATAATAACGCGATAATTTTGACAGCACTAATTTATTTATTATGTTTTTAAGCCCAATTCAAATTCTGACGCCATTGAAAACAAAACTTTCAAGACTGAATTTTAGTTTTTCTTCCCATCTTTCTAAGTGAAACAAATAATGATTCTGGTTAAAGAAACCCAGTGTGATGAAGACATCATATTTCCTTTTCACATTTAGTCACATTACAACAACAGTGAATGCTGTAGGGATTTGGGATAAAACAGTTCTGTTTCCTTATTTTTTCATTTCTGTAAAAAAAAAAAAAAAAACGAGTCTAGCATATATCAGCATTTGTCCACCCCCTTTACCGATACCCTTAATTAAAATCCATTTCAACTAACCGCCTTCAGAAATCAGCTAATTACTAAATAGGGCTAATGGCTCTTTTTTATCTCAGTATAAATGCAGCTAATCTGCAAAGGCCTTATTGGTTAGTTGGAGAACATTGGCCTAAAAAGCATAATGAAGTCCAAGAAAAACAGCCAGGTTAGAGGGGAACTTGTGCAGGAGTTTAGGGAGCATTTGTGAAACAATCTTCCCAATATTAACATCTCACGGAGCACTCTTTAGTCCGGCTTAAAAAGCTGGAAAGAGTTTAGTTAAATGTGAAACCAATTGAGCTGCTTGCTTCTCAAAGAGGTAAAATGCTGTGTGTGGCAGTAAACTAACACAGTCATCTCTATTATAAAACATGGTTATGGCAGCATGATGCTGTGGGGTTGCTTTTGTCCAGTAGGGACTGCCAGGCTGGTCAGAGTTTCTGTAAAGATTGATGGTTGAATATAAAAAAGAAAATCTCATCCCCCAAAAATATACAATAGCTGATAAACGAAAACTGCAGATCAACTTCCCTCCACTTCACAATAATGCTGATTTATGCTGCATAAAGATCGCTATTTTAAGTTTACAGATGCTATGTAAAAAATAAATAAAATCAAGAACTGAAAATAAGGGTGAACTGATTGCTGGTTGGATGGATACAATCCATTTTAATAAAACACAACATCAGTTGTTATGGGATCTCAAAAAAGACCTTTGTAGACGTAGTTAATATCCTTTGAAAAGATCGATTTCCCATCTAAGTATAGACCGATCAGCAATCTCCCTAAACTGAGGCTGATAAATCAACCAGCCAATCAAACGGTGAACCCCTGGCTGAAAAAAGTTTTGGCATTACATTTTATCTACTATTTATTTACTTACTTACATTTTATCACTGCTGCACTTTAGAAATTAAAATGCATTGAGAGCTGTACTGAATGAAATTTATTTTTGTATACACCGTGTACAAAATGACACCAAAGTCTAACTCTAAGCATTGCAGCTGATAAAGTTAGAGAAAATCTGATTACTATGTTCCTATTTCATGTTGAGTATTTTCTGCATGAGGAAGGGCTATAAGGGGAATAAATTCCTTGCATAGCGCTCCTATTAATAACTATTAGAAGAAAAAAATAAGCCAATGCTTTTTCTCCACCACAAAGTTCCACCATGCCAGTTCTTCATTGTTCCTAACCTCTGCTGTAAAGATGAAATGTTCATCATAAAGAAAATTAATCTGCCGATATGCTTTTACGGCATAAAAAAATAAAACTTTAGAGTTTTCAGTGTTCTACACTGTTTAACTGGTGTGTTTTTTTAAGCCAAAACTATGGTTCCTCATCTTTCTCTAGAACTTGCATAAAAAATAACTAAACATGTGGAAAAAAGAAAAGATCAGATCACAAATCCTTCCAGCTTAAAAAAAGAAAAAGCAAAGATCAAGGTTAAAACCTTTAGTCAGCAGCTCTTATTAAAGAGTTTCCGAGAGCATAAAAAAAAGGACTTATGATTATTAGTGTCCTTCCCACTGTATTATAGTTTGTGTTCAAAGCAGGAAAGTGTATTCAGGGAGCATTTCTCATCTCATTTCCTCCAGCCACCTGTAATGCCTTTAAATTTAGATTGAAACTGTTTTATTGTCACCAGGTAAAAGAGATTGTGAGATTTGCGACTAAATGTGGGCAGAGGAGCTCGTCCAACTGACGGGTCAGTGTCAGTCCCTGCAGCTCTGCAAGCACAGATGGCGATGACTGCAGTCAGAGCTCCTGATATACAGAATAGACATAATTAAAGGTGATACACCATTTTACTCAATGGGATTTGGGGTTTAAAACATGCTTCTAGGTGAACTGATGAATGCAGGAGGAGAGAGCGGCTGCTTGGAATTCAATCAGTGAGATTTATGACCAACTCTATATTCCAAGGTTTTATCTCTACAGCTGTAAAGTACAATAAAACCTTGCAAAACCAAGCTGAGGAAATTTGGATATAAACGCCTGACTGACAGTCTCAGCGGCTTTTCATTGTAAGAGGACAAAGCAAGGATAAAAAGGTTGAACTTTTTTCCCTTTAATATAACTTAGTTGGGCTAAACTCTGGGGAAAAGTGCCGCCTTCTACAGCAGGAGTAAAAACACTAGAAGACCTTGAAAAAGTTCGGCTTGCAGCGAGTGCTACAGCGAGATAACTGAAGGTGTTGATGCTGATTTACCCTGCTGTGATTAGCAGCAGTTTATCAGTGAGGGACTCATTATTGAAGCCAATGGACTCGGATGGTCATTAGCTAGCTTTGCTCAGACACTAATGCACTTCCAGCTAACAGACTGGCACTGGCACGGCTATAAACAAGTGCACGGGTGTGCACGTGCCTCAGCACACGAATGCATGATAGAGATATGCGGAGATGTACAGGAAGGAGGGAAGAGCACACGCAATTTCTAACCACAGAGGCACTTAATCAGTCCCGGCCTAATTAAAAGGCCAGACTGGAATGAAAGAGTGTTTAATGTGGAAATTGGGATGATAAAGCAGGAGCTGGAGAAATAAGAAACAGAGCACACTGGCATCCTGGTAGTCCAACAGTTAGGGAATATTCAGGATGCACACTGCAATTTCCTATAACCCTAAACTATCACTCTTTGTATGGTTCATCCTTATCATTCCTTCACTTTAATATCATCTGCACTATGGAATTTTAATTAAGCAAATATAACAAAATATTTTCTATTTTAGTTTTTGTTTTATCTATTTCTCTTCCAAAGGACATTAACCTTTCTGAATTATTGTGTTTTAAATAAAACTAGGGCTCAACTAACAATTATTTTGCTTATTATATATAGCGCTTAAAGGCGCTATGTAAGTACATGCCATTTACCATTTACCATTTATTGATTAATCTGTAGATAATTTCTTTAATTAATTGATTAATGACCTGAAAGCAAAAAGATTTTATACAGATTTTAAGTTAAAGAGTTCTGGACACAAATTATTCACAGACAAAAACATACAAGCCCTTATATACATTTTATAATTTTTCATAATAGTTCTGAGTGAGTTGCTCTTAATGGATTAATAAACTACATGATGCTTATTTTAATAATTGATCAAATTAATCCAATTAATTGTTGCAGCCCTAAATAATACAATTTTTTTTGCATCTAATGTATGGACTGAGAAAGGGGTCAAAATGTTTGTATCTTAGTTGAAACCGAAAAAATATAAGTTGATATTGAATGTCCAATTTTTACCTTATCTGAGTAACTAAAAAAGTAAACATAAAATAATAAGAATTAAATATAAATTCTTCCCCTCAACTTTAAAACCTCATAATTTAGTTCAGTATTTTAATGAAACTTTTTTCTTTTATTTATGTGTTTCTTTTCTTTATTGCGGTTTTTGATTTTATTTTTTTTAGATTCAAATCTCTTTCAGTTTCTATTATTTATCTTTTTTGTTTAAAATTCTTTTTTCAGTGTCAGGATTTTTTTTTACACACTTTCAAATAATTTTTTTTTTTCTTTCACATTCAGACTTTGATCCCAATGTTACGGGAGTGGGCGGGGAAATGTGATTGACAGCTTGCAGCAGTACTGGAGCGATCATGGACTGTGGGAACTCCAACTACTTGAGCAAGTAGTTGGAGTTCCCACATTCCATGAATGCAACATTGAAAGGGACATTTGATCACTGCTGCACTTTAGGATATAGAATTTTTCATTTCACTGCTAAGTAGGGATGGGAATCGGAAACTGCTTCCTGTTCAGAACCGGTTTTGTGTGTTCCAATTCCACGGCACCGTTTGGCAGCTTGCTTAACGATTCTCTTAACTGTTTCAGGCAGCACCAGAGCCTAGCGCTGGGCAGCACGACTTACGTCACGTTTTTTATGTAAATTACAAGTTACGCACACGGCATTCAGTAAGTATAACAAGTATATGGTCATGTTATAGCAAGTATAACATGACCACCCGAAAGTCTAGAAAAGCAAAAGCAAGCTTTCTCCATTAGATTTAGATGACTGTGACGAGACAGGTAAAAAAAACAACAACAAACAAACAAAAAATCCTAAAACTGAAAAAGCAATCTGAATCTTAAAAAAAGGGGAAAAAAAAGAAAGAAAAGAAACTGAAATGGATGGATTTGAATCAGAAAACATAAAAAGTAAAGAAAATAAATAAGAAAAAGTGTAATTAAAATACTAAACTGAATTTAGATTCAATTCTTATTTTATGTTTGCTTTTTTAGTTTCTCTCATTATAAGGTAAAAATGTGAGATATAGATATCAACTTCTAGTTTTTCAGTTTTAACTAAGATTTAGAAGTTTACAAACATTTTGACCCCTTTCTGACTCCATACTAATCATACTAAACCAGAGCTGTGTCTCCAAAGCTTAACACAGAAATGGTTCAAATTAAATAAATTAAACCTTCTTGCCTGCTCATATCATACCATCTCTCTCTATGGTCAAACCTGATGCTTCAAAACAACACCAAGAACCAAACCATATTATTTGCTCACTAAAGAAAGCATCTTTTTTTAGCAAAGGGACAAAGTTTCTAAAATCCACACTTGTTCTGCAGGAAGCAATATTAATACTTGAAGGCTATGTTTGCAGCATAAAAAAGAAAAATAAGACTGCCATCTTCATACTGTTTGTTTTTAAGGGTTTCTTTCAGAAGCAGCTTCCTCCCTGATGTTCTATAGCCTCAAAACGAAACTAATGAGATGACTCGACTCACTCAAAGTAGCAGAAGGTCGGATAGCCTTTGACGTTGTACTCCTGCTTAAGGCCGTCAAACTCAGCTGGGTGCACATTCATCCCCGCCAGTACCTTAAGAACAAATCACAAAAATGAAAGAAAAGCTTGCCGTGAGTTGACAAGGAGGGGATGAGAAGTGACGGCGGAGGAAAGAGGAAAGGACATCAGACATCAAAGCGGGTTAGCCACCATCAGGAAGCTCCAACATAATAAAAGAAAAGTTTTAAAAGGGAACTGCAGTCTGCAAGGGCACTTTAAAAGAAACTTATTTAAGACATTTTCTACTGGAATAGAAGAATAAAATTCTTGAAGCTGTGGCTCAGAGGTTGTGGATCAATTGAAGGCTGCCAAGGTTGTTTAAGCACAAGATAAATGTCTAAGAGCGATAGAAATTTGTTAACGAGTCAAGGTGATTTTCAAATGGAAATAGTACCTCCATATGTGGCTCCACTTTAGTTTAATCAAGTAAAAAACACTACTGAGTTTTTAAAAAAAGGTAAGTTTTACCTTAAGGCTTTAAAAGTCCAAAAGTACTTAAAAACTGGTGTTGCACTGATACCATTTTTTGGCCCTGATATCGATTACATCTGTTTGACATTGCAGTTCTTCATATATACACACACACATCAGACTACTTGGATGTAAAATAATTGCCATCATGTTTTTGTCAAGCTGCTGCCTACCTTTGTGAAGCAGGAAAAAGACTAATAAAAAGTGAATCCAGTAGAACTTTTTATTGCCTACCTGGAATGGGTGACAATAGTTGAATAAACTTTTGGCTCTCAGAATGGTATCGTTGGTACTTGCCTATACAGATAGCACCATTTTAGTGCTGGATCAGGGCCCCGCCCCATACTGGTATCAATACAACACCTTTAAAAACATCTACTTAAATCTGACCTTACAATAATGAACAAATCTACAGAACATCTAAGGAAATATTGCACCAAACTGTACAAAAACTGTAAATTTCAAATGATAAACATAACCAACCAGCGATCAAATTCAAAGCTAACATTTCTTTAAACATTTACAGGGAGACTCAGTAAACCCTATCAGGTGCTTACTTCGTCTTAGGTATTATTGGTAGGCATTATTGTAGGCCTAGTAGGTGACCGGGCCATTTTTAACATTGGTTCACATCTTCATCGTCTGTGCCATCACAGCGATTAGGAGAAAACTTAAAATAAACTAATTACTAGATATAAAACACTTCTTTATGTTTTCGATTTTTTTTCTCTTTCTCTTTCAGTTTGACTAAATCTAAAACATTAGATGATGCATGCAGTTTTTCTTCTCCTTTACTAAGGCCAGAATAAGATCACCCACTCACTGTTCACTTCAAAGCAACAAAGATGTTGCTTGCAGTGAGAGAAGAACTCTGAGAATCTATCTATGCCACTTCCCTCATAATGCGGGAAAATTTGTTTTGTTTTTTCTTCCGAATGTTAGAGATTTATAAACACTAAGCATTAGTCATGAGTCTCTTAGGGGACATCTGATCAGTGATGTAGAACGTAGATAGATACATTCATAATCTTCACTACAGGGGGGATGGGGGAAGAGAGAGGGAACAACGAGCGGGTTTAATACGCATTTTATTTTTATATATCTTTTAAACTGAACCTGGAAGACTTTTGTCTTCAGAGTATTTTGCAAATAAAGATGAAACGGACCTCGGTTTATTTTCTAACTGTACGCATTCTCTTGCAACAATTATTCATTCCCCTTTAAGATAAGACATTCTGTTCTTCTACAATCATAAAGCTCAATTTCTCAAGGTTGTCTTTGATATATTCACACAGAAGAGCAAACAAGTGTGGAGTAAAGATGAACAGCTTTTTATAAAATGTTTTGAAAGCCAAACTCTAAAAAAAGTGCAGCATGCATCTGTATTTGGTTTCCTGAGACTATTGTGTAGAAAACCTCATGCTGCATTTACAGCTGCGGATCTTCTTGGTTTTGGCTCTAGTAGCTTTCTACATTCTGGGTCTGGGTCTTCAAAGATCTCAAATAAGAAGCACTAATTTATACATGCAAAAGGCTATGTTAAGGCTGATCTACAAAGATTGGTGCACAAATATTAATCAATGCAAACCCCCTCGGTTTCTTCTATGGGTAGTTCAGAGCGGTTTTAAAAGAAAGAAGAGGTTCTAAGCCATGTAGTTGGGAGTAATTTCAGATTCCAGAACAGCTTCTTGTGAGATTTGCCCTACATGTTGGAAACAGTACCATATACCAGTCTTGTGCTTACATTTGATCACAATGTTAATATTTTATCACTGCTGCACTTTAAAAATGGAAATGCTTTCTGAGCTGTAGTGAACGAAATTTATTTTTGTATACACTCTGTGTGTACAAAATGACAATTAATTCTGTCTAAGTAATAATAACAAAAATGATCTAAAAAATGATCGTTATAATAAACAATACTTAAACAGCACTTTACAGAGGTAAGTGCTAATGTCATATATAACAAATGGAATGATAAAATTAGGTGAGGTTAAATGTAAAAATTTAAATTAAAAAAATAGGTTATTTTTCTTCATTGACATCCCCTCCCCTGACAAAGGTTTGCATGTCTTAAATCAGGTGCCAACGTATAAAGCATTACTTAATTTTTTTTTTGATTAAATTGCATTAAACCATGCCATTTGTGTGCAGATGTTTTTCTTTACTATTATTATTTTAATATCGTTACTATTGATGGTGCAAAATGTGTAGGAGTACTAAAAAACTGTAGCCTCAGTTGATTTTGAGAGTAAAAAAAAAAAAATCAGTGTTGAAGTTTTAAATGTTTATACTTGCATATCCTGCACCCCTGAATTTGTGCAGTTATTTGAAAACGTGTCTGCTCGTACAGACACGTCTAGGGCAGTGATCCCCAACCGGAGGTATGTGTACCCCTAGTGGTGCACGAGTGCTTTGCAAGGGGTTCATGAATATATTAAATTTTTTTGGTAGTAAAATAAAATAGGTCTGGGATCTGTTTTGCTTTGGGAGGACCCAATTGAAAAATTTAACAAGCTTTTATCAAACAAAAAGTAAGTTTTTCTTATATGTTTGAGTTCACCTTCAGCTGTGACACACATCCAAACCAAGCAGAGGAACAGACTGGATGTAGAGAACAGCCTGGAATCAGCTGTTTTTCACACTGAGCTATCGGAGCTCATCACTGCAGCTCAGGTGTCTTGATGAAAACAAAGTAAAACTAAGTGAGTTTGACTATAATTTTTGTTCTGTATTTTGTTCCCAATTCATAAACTTTAAATGTGATTATAAGGGAGTTACTCAGAGGAGCTCCAGTTTTATAAATACAGGTTTATAATAGGATTTTTTATTTATTTATTTTGATTCCTTACTAACTTCCAGGCAACATAGTTATGTTTTTTTTTATTGAATATGAAAAACATAAAATTATATAAATTGAGTTCTCAAATTAAACGATTCGGTAAAAGAGTCTTTATTTCAGTTATTGCACTTTTATCTTTTGGACAGTCATCAATACTTTTGACTGAGATGGGAACTCATGGTACGGAAAAATGAATGAATGAAAATCTAATCCTATGGAGAATATTTCGAGGAGACTTTAAAAAAACAACAAGACATTCTTTATTTAAGGCTGGCAGGAGAATCTGAACGTTTGCATACATAATTTGTCTCTTACTATCTGCAGAAGAAATAAAGAAAGGGGATGGGATTTACGATAATGGAGGACAGGTAGGACACTTACATATTTGCCTTTTGTTTCTGTAGCTGCTTGCTGAAAAACAGGCTGCATTCTCTTGCAAACTCCACACCCTGCAAAAAAACAAAAAAAACAAAGAACATCACAAATAAAAGATTAATTTACACATTAAAGTTTTCAATCAACTATAAAATCTGTGATTGTAATAATTATTAGATATAAAAAAATATAATGTAAAAAAATCCATAAGAATATGTTTTAATGCATGGGAACCTATTGGAAGTCATAAGGGATTATTCAATGTTTTCTGACTCAATGACTTCCACACAGCCTAATATAATGCGTCAATGTGATAGGGGGAGATCTCTGTTACATCTTAGATGGCTTAAAACAACAATTGGAAACAATCTGATTAGATGTTTGCCAGTGATTCTGGGGAGAAGCCATCTCTGTGCCACCATGACCCGTGTAGACATGTGGAGTCTGCTAAACTCTACTGGGATTTTGAAATGTTTGCTTCCTCCTGATGAGATAAAGTTTTAAAGGAACAGACATCCCAGGTGGGATTGGCTAGAAGGCCTGCAGATGTTCTACAATTAAAGTTTTTTTTTTTCCTTTCATCCAAGATGTCAAACGTGCAATTTTTTTTCTGTACCAGGACATCTTATACTTCGCAATAAGACCTTTGCAGAATTCCTGGAAAGTCTGTTTAGTTTACTGTAGTTTAGTTCAGTAGCCACACCCAAGTCAAATCTGTAAGCAGTTGCACAAAAGCTTATAAGATACCAAACAAGAAAAAATTTGGCCAAAAATGTGCATGAAGAAGAAGCTGCAAGAATTCCCAAACCAGGGCCGCAGCAACAGATGGATGCCATTAAGTTTTTGCAGCTAAGGTAAAAAATATCAATTTAAATAAAGGAGTTTTAATTGCTATAATTTGTTATACATGAGCTATTTCAGTGTTATTCATTTACACACATTAGTTTTCTTTAAGATTAAGAAAACAAACAAAAAAGACCTCAATCTGGTGAACTTCGCTTTCCAGAGTTAACGTCCTTGGTCTCATGAAATCTTTGGGATATCAGTAGATTACAATAAAAATCTGGTGGATTTTACAGTCAAACTGGAATAAGAAAATAATTTTAACTTTCTGCGCTTTACATGATAAAAATCCACCTTTCCTCATGGCCATCTCAGTGTAAAAGGATTGTGGACAGTCTAGTGAGATGGCGTTAAATGGACTGCTCTGAAAGACATTTCTCTGGTTGATATTACTTTACAAAATGTAAAAGGAGAAGAAGCGAAGGGAGAGATAATGCACGGAAATAATTCTAGAGGGATACCAATAATTTTACCAAAAGGAAACTTTTTTTAAAACAATTATTTACTCAGTAAATAAACCAAATTAAAGTTGTTTTTTAACCTTTAACTGTGAGATTGAATTACTGCAATAAAAGCTGAATTTATTTTGAAGCATCTTCCGGGTGCAATAATAGATATTGCCTGCACTCCAGTATTAAATTTGGTCCCGTGATCTTTGCCTATTCAAACTGCTGAGAGACTCTAGCAATCAGGACAGAGCTGTGACATCCTGGTGCTATTTTGTCTTCCTTTGTTTCATGCAGTTTTGTGCCTTGAAGCAATCATTTCTGTCTCACCGTGAGCTCCAAAAACTGGAGAATCCTGAAAAACAACTAAAAGGTCAATGTTAAAAGCAAAAGAAACATTGTTCTATTCCAAACCCCCTGGCACGCAGTCATCCCATCACACTGAACAAAATGAACATCCGCTAATATGAATAACTAATAACAGCAATAGAACGACTCACAGGGAGCATAGAACATCATGAGAACAGGCCTCTCCTCCTTCTTCAGTAGCTTCCTGAAGTCCTTAAAAGAGAAACATAAAGAAGAAACTTAAAGGTCTGCAAATGCACATGTAGAAAGAACAGCAGCAGGTTTGCATTGCCAACAAGTTCATGATCACAAGTAGATCAGTGACAGATCGCTGAAAGAAATACAAACATTTTATATTTTTTCCAGAAGTGAAAATCAATATGTAAGAGCTCTGTAGTGTAACACTCTTTGGTGTGGAAGTTATCATTAAGAAAAGAGGGCTAGCTAATACCAGCACCAATAAGCAGCTGAAAAGTCTGATTAAAAGGAAAAAGAGATGTGAAAATCTTTAAAAAAAAATTACAATCTTAGATGAGTCATCATGCCTTTATATTAGTTCAAGTTACGTTAAAAGAGAGCAACATTTTCGTTAGATAACAGGAAGGCGGCACAGAGTGCAGCCTTAGTAACCTTTCAGAGATTATAAATACTTCTAGACATATTGAATACCCCCTTGCATCTTTTTGGGGAAGATAATTAACTTTATTTAAAAATGTTTTATTTTATTTGATATAAGTTTATTATTAATAAACTTATATCAAACAATTAGCACTTTTCTGCAATCCCGATATTTCGCTGTAGTGTTTTAAATGCATGGTTGGTAAGCTGAAAACTGTTTAGGTAACATTAACCCCTAGTTAATAGTTTACCATGTTGAAGACATCTTTAAATATAAACTTACTTTTCATTTTCTTCTCGTTTTAAAATGGCGTTCTATGACCACTTAACTCTTAAACAAAGTGTGACAACATTTGTTCCTTTAAAAATATCTCATTACCAATTAGGGCAGAAAGGATAGAAAAATAATATTTGGAAAACTTTTATAATATTCTTTTTATTGTTTTTTTTTAATCAGAGAGAAAAATGAATTGGCTTTAACCAATTTTGGAAACTGAATAAAATTCTCTACACTGTGGGCTCAAAAAGAATAGAAAAAAGACGGGCATAAAAAAACCACATGAATAAAGCTGATGAAGATTCTCAGTCAACCAGGTCATAGTCTTTCCGTAAAAGTAAAAAAAAACAACAACAATCCACTGGACTTGGTTTCTAAGATTTGAAGACATTTCGCTGGGAAAGCTTCCTGGAGAGGTAGCGAAACGTCTTCAAATCTTGGAAACCAAGTCCAGTGGATTGTTTTTTTAAAACTTTTACGGAATCACACGAATAAACATCATGTTTGCCATTCAGTCCTCTATTAGACATGTCCACATCATCACATCAACAGCTAAATGAAGTCTTTCAGATTTTGAAGAACATCTGTTAACCTTAACAGAAGCTACGTCTCCTCATCATCGCTTTGATCACCTCAGCAACTTCCAGAACATCACCCTTCAGCACCATCTCTTGCTGATATATTTAAGAAGCAACTGTCAGATTAGCTGGTCATTAATCAGCTTTCACCAAGCTGGATCAACAGTGGATGTGAGGACTCTGAGATGACAGGTAGTGTCTAATAACACTATAACAGATTCTGATGGTATAGCCATCAGATTGGGCAGGTGAAGAGCTGCCTGGCAATGTTTTCATCCTCATAAGGTTAGGACTGAGCAGCTTTTTGAAGACCAACATCCAAGAAATAACTTTTGTGTTGCAGAGGTGAAAACGGTATCCTGCAGGCTTGAAAAGCATACATCTTCAAAAACTTGAACCGTTGCATCGGCTGCTCGGCGGGAGTCTCCTTCTGATCACAGCGACCGCAGATCAGCATTAATGTTCTCAAACTCTTTAACATATGCTGCTTTAAAAAAAAAAAAAAAGGCTAACTTTAAACTTTGTTAAGGTCATTACTTACTTTCTCTGTTTCGATGTGGACGACATCTTTTGCTTCGGGGTTTTCTTCCCACAGAGGCGGCCCTGATGGGTCCTTCAGGAACGCTACCATAGACTGATAAAAGAGAAGAAAAAAAGAGTCAGAATCAATCCTTCTCTTCAAACAGAGTGCTACTAAACTAACAAAATCACGGCATAGACAAAAATGTGTTGATTTATATTTATTTATTTAAAAAATATTTATTTTGATTTATATTTCCATTTGAAATGTGATCAAGGGGATGCTGTGGGTTAAAATGCTAAGGTATGCTAAGGTATCTATGTTGGAATGTGTGTCTGGTCATAAAGCGGTGATGTTTGCTGTGTGTCTAATGAGTCAGGAGGAAATATTCCTGTCAGAAAAACACAGATGTTAAATCTGATTATCTTATTAGCCCCACTATAGCATAATGATATAAAATGAGAGGTTGGGTATTTAGAGAAAAGCAATAAGTAACAAAAGGCTCAGTTGCTTAAACTTCCTGATATTCTGTCTTGATAAAAACTATACTTCAGTGGCACATCATGGAATAAGTAAAATAGTTACATATTTCAACAGTAAAATAACAAAACAAAAAAAAACAGACAAAAACAGAACTTGTGGCAATTATTCATTATTCCCTATTCTAAAGAGTGTGCCTTATGGATCTATTCTAGTTGTTTACGATTTATATTAACAATTAAGATTGTTTTGACATTTTAATGCTGATGAACAGTAATTTACAATTATTATTTCATAGCTTCAAAAGCACCGAAGATGTCAATTCAGTCCAGGTCAATTCATAACCTGACTGGAAACCTTCCGTTGAAGCAATTTTGGGAAGGGGCGAAAATACTGGTTAGCTGATTGGCCTATGTTGGTGATAGACGGGCCAAATAAACCAATCAGATCAACGAAGCATATGACGTAACAGAGCGACGACAAAGAGGAGCCAATTGATAGATCAAACTCTTGCCGAAACCAGTCGGGAGAAGAGCAAAAATATATTTTCCTCTGACAAAAGCCTCCAGAGCAGTGTTTAGCTCTTCTTTCAGTGAAGAAATACTGTGTAATTCCGATAAAACTTGCTCGATAGCCACGCTAACGCTAGTTTCATCGGCTGAAGCCGCCATGTTCTTTAGACTGAACTGTCGCGCTTTTCGTTGCGTCACACCTCAACCCGCCTCAAAGCCAACGCTGATTGGACGTTCGTTTGGTGAACGGCTCCAAATTTTCTTCAACGGAGAGTCTCCAGACTGATTAGCGAGTGAAATCTTTAAAGCTCGCGAGATCAGGATGGTCTCACGAGGCTAGGTCAATTCAGCTTAAAGAGTCATTACAGAGTTTTCTAATAATACTGCCACCTGTGGCCAAAACAAGAACTGCAGCAATATTAATAATAAAAAAAAAAGCTTTCCCTTTAATTACAGCTGCCAGTCCTTTAGTGTACGTATCTATCAGACTTCGATGGCTAAATAGGACATTTATCCCCAAAAATATTGAGCAATAACTCCAGCTCTATGACACTGGAAGCAGAATGTGGATAGACGACCACTTCGGGTCTATGATCTCTGACAGGGTCACGCTTAAATAATATGATTAGATATTTGATTGCTTTGTATTTTCTATAATCAGGTAGCAAAATCTGTTTTAAAAGAGGATTTTCTAGAGAATTTGAGCTACAACAGTTAAGGAGTTACTGACAAAGAAGGATCTATATCTTAAATGCAAAAAGCATTTAGTCAACTTTGGCAAATTTACTTCTTTCAGTTGGTTGTTCTTTCAGCCAATAGAATATTTTAGAGTCTGTATAGTTCAGCCCTAAACTAAGCTATTGTTCAATAATAATCAAACAATGTGTGCAAATGCAAAAAAATAAAACATGGGAAGCCAAACCTTAACTGTAGCAGGTCTGTTGTACTCTGTGTGGAATGTCCCATCTCTGGAAAACACAACACACACGGCACCAGAAGTAAGTGGTGAATGATGTATTTGCTTTAGCTGCAAAAGTGACATTACTTCCCAAAACGCGCCGATGTGTGAAGAGGTGTCTGACATCCAGCTGAGTGTCTAGTGACTCACTTGTAATGCAGCAGCTCTGCTCCCTCGTGCTTGGAGCTGGGGTCCACCTTCACTTTCTTACAGAGCTTGCGGCCCTCTGAATCCCTAGAAGATGTCAAAATATAAAACAAAGAAACAACATTGTTTTAAAACAGGTTTAGAAAGTGTTGCTTTAAAAAACAGAAGCAGTAAGCCAGAAAACGGAGTCCTTTCCAATCAACACCTTAGTGCACTTTCTGCTAGGGGTGTCCAAATCCGATATATGTTGAAAACAGGTCCGATATCAGACAAAAAATTTAATATTGGAACATATCAGCCTCCAAAACCTCCGATAATAAAAAACTCATAGAGACACTTTCTTTGTATCCACTTTTGTTTAAAGTTTATGTAACTCTTAAAAAAATGGGTCAGCTATACTCATACCTGATGTTTTTCTATCATTCCACATTATGAAATGAGCAATAAAAGTATGTATGATTAATGCTGATATTCTATTGGTTTAATATAGGTATTATTGGAGTTTGCGGACGACATCAATCCCATCGGACTTATCTCTAAGGGAGACGAGTCCGCCTACAGGTGGGAGGTTGACCATCTGGCGACCTCCTACAGGGAGAACAACCTGGAAGTCAACGATCTAAAAACAGTGGAGATGGTTGTGGACTTCAGGAAGAACTCAGCCCCAGCTATCCTCATCACCGTCTGTGACTCCACAATTGATAGGTGGAGTCATTCCGCTTCCTGGAAACTATCATCTCACAGGACCTAAAGTTGAAGCTGAACATCAACTCTCTCATCAAGAAAGCCTAGAAGAGGCTGTACTTCCTGCAAAAACAACCTGCCATGGATAAATTTGGTGCACTTCTACTCCTCCATCATTCGGTCCATCCTCAACCCCTCCATCACCCCCCTGGTATGCTGGTGCCACCTACAAGGACAAGGGTAGACTGCAGTGTGTCAACTGGTCTGCAGAGAAGGTGATTGACTGCAATCTTCCATCTCTCTAGGATCTGTATGCCTCCAGGACTCTGAGGTGTGCAGGGAGGGTGTGGATGATCCCTCGCACCCCAGCGACAAACTATCTCAGACACTTCCCTCTGGCAGGAAGCTGCGGTCCACCAGGACCACAACCTCACGCCACAAGAACATCCGATACCAGCCTTAACAACAAGGCCCAGAGCCCCCCGTGACACTGACACTGCCTCTCTCCTTCCATTGTTCAGGACCTACAAGCTACAGCAACGTAGCATCTCTAGACAAACTGCATTACATCAACACACAATCTACAGTGTATATAGTATATAGCTATATACTATATATTGTATATAGATTATTGTATTTTTTGTATTGTATATAGTCACATAGATGCTGTATGTATATATATATATATATATATATATATATATATATATATATATCCCCACCAAGTCAAATTCCTTGTAAGTGCAAACCTACTTGGCAATACATTTGATTCGGTATTAGAGAAGAAAAAAAATGTGCATTATATATTCTGTTTGAAAATCCCACTTTACAGAAATACTTTTTCTTTTTCTTCATTTTGACTACTGATGGTAAACCAGGTGTTGACCATTCACTATATGTAAAAGCAACATCTCCCCTTCACTGTTTTGCATTAAACCCGTATATATTTCTCCTGATTTGACCAAAATTGCTTCTGTTCAAGTGCCAGAATAATATAAAAAAATAACTTGGAAATAATTATGGATTAGTGGTTCTGTATGGAAGCTGCGGAGTTTGTATTTGTGATATCCCGATAAAAATTCATAATGGGTGTAAAACGCTTGCAACAAATTCCAGCTCTTCAACTAAATTAAAGGCAAGCCTCTCTTTAGAGATCAAGTTTAGTGATTTAGCGATTAAATACTTCAGTGATTGTGGATTGTCGTGGAGAACGCCCCCCCTCAAGTTTGTTGTACTAACACTTTCAGTTGCTACAGGCTTGTGCAGGTTAAGTGGCACATTACAAAACATTTTTGTCTAAAATCTAAATTGCTTCCAAACTAATTCATACTCTTTCACAAAATCTGGAGTCACGTTTCCCTGACTTGCAAACTCCTCAGGGGGGTCTCACGTTACATTATGTGGAATGTAGGAGTATGAACCTGTGTCTTAGCAATACCTGATCCTGATGAATGAGGTAACTATTGCTCATCATGACAGGCGTGTGAAAAGTGGTTGAGTTTATCTGTGAGTGAGATGGCAGTATTAGAGAAGAAGACAATACAGAAATAGTAAAGCAAAATCAAATTGAATGCTGATAAATGGACATCTAAGTAAAAAATTACCCTAATTCTAAACAAGCAAAAAAAAAAAAAGAAAAAAACCCCACAAACAGCGCCAAATTTTAGGTCATCATCAGGACTCCAGATCTTTCTTTTAAGAATTTAGGGAGCTTAAATAATAATAATAATAATAATACATTGACAAGGCAGCCAACAACCGTGATGTAGTTCCACCGGCTCCTTAAGGGGGAAATGGACAAATTCAAGTCAAGTATTGTTGGAATCTTGGAAAAGGATACTCAAAATTGACCCTACAATTAAGTATTACCTCGACATATCAACCAGATACTAAAGGGTGAAACTAAACAATCATGGCTGCACTGGTTTCAACTGGCATACCCCCCATTTGTTTTTGAAAAACGAGCAAAAGGACAAGATTTTTTCCTTTGTTGGTGAGAAAGATATTTTCCCGTTCCTGCCTACCGGATTCGGTAAAAGTTTGACTAATCTGTTAACTCCGCTAGTTGTAAAACAAATGAATAATGTGTTACAATTAGCTAAAAAGCAGGACATGGGGGGCATGTGCCACTTAATGACTTATCGAATCAGCTCATAGAATTGAACTGAATGTCCCTCTATGTTACAAACACTTTCCGCAGGAGCCTTTCCAGATGGAAACTGTGTAGAATTCAAAATGAACTACAGGTATAAATCTGGCTTGAGCCTAGTTAACCCAAAATAACAGTTTAAAAAATTAAATTACATCAAACTGTTTATTTAAAGAACAGATGGCGTTCAGCAAAATAAATAATTTAGTCTCTAACTGATCCAAAGTACCGCTTAACAAAAAAGTAATGAGTCTTTCTATAAACTATAAAAAGATGCATTGTTTTGTTTTTATATACAGTATATTTTCTACACTTAATAATGCAGGAGAAGGGATTTAAAATTGAATTGCAGCTAAAGTTGCATTACATTCTACCACATTATATGTGGTAAACAATCACCCACTGCCTTTTTAGCAGCTGCTGCTGTGTGAACTCTGAACCTTTAGTGTATATATATATATATATATATATATATATATATATATATATATATATATATATATATATATATATACACTCACCGGCCACTTTATTAGGTACACCTGTCCAACTGATCGTTAACACTTAATTTCTAAGCAGCCAATCACATGGCGGCAACTCAGTGCATTTAGGCGTGTAGACATGGTCAAGACAATCTCCTGCAGTTCAAACCAAGCATCAGTATGGGGAAGAAAGGTGATTTGAGTGACTTTGAACGTGGCATGATTGTTGGTGCCAGAAGGGCTGGTCTGAGTATTTCAGAAACTGCTGATCTACTGGGATTTTGACGCACAACCATCTCTAGGGTTTACAGAGAATGGTCCGAAAAAGAAAAAACATCCAGTGACCGGCAGTTCTGGGGGCGGAAATGCCTTGTTGATGCCAGAGGTCAGAGGAGAATGGCCAGACTGGTTCGAGCTGATAGAAGGGCAACAGTGACTCAAATAACCACCCGTTACAACCAAGGTGGGCAGAAGAGCATCTCTGAACGCACAGTATGCCGAACTTTGAGGCAGATGGGCTACAGCAGCAGAAGACCACACCGGGTGCCACTCCTTTCAGCTATGAACAGGAAACTGAGGCTACAATTTGCACAAGCTCATCGAAATTGGACAATAGAAGATTGGAAAAGCGTTGCCTGGTCTGATGAGTCTCGATTTCTGCTGCGACATTCGGATGGTAGGGTTAGAATTTGGCGTCTACAACATAAAAGCATGGATCCATCCTGCCTTGTATCAACGGTTGAGGCTGGTGGTGGAGGTGTCATGGTGTGGGGAATATTTTCTTGGCTCTTTTTGGGCCCCTTGGTACCAATTGAGCATCGTTGCAATGCCACAGCCTACCTGAGTATTGTTGCTGACCATATCCATCCCTTTATGACCACAATGTACCCAACTTCTGATGGCTACTTTTAGCAGGATAATGCGCCATGTCATAAAGCTGGAATCATCTTAGACTGGTTTCTTGAACATGACAGTGAGTTCACTGTATTCAAATGGCCTCCACAGTCACCAGATCTCAATCCAATAGAGCATCTTTGGGATGTGGTGGAACGGGAGATTCACATCATGGATGTGAAGCCGACAAATCTGCGGCAACTGTGTGATGCCATCATGTCATTATGGACCAAACTCCCTGAGGAATGCTTCCAGCACCTTGTTGAATCTATGCCACGAAGAATTGAGGCAGTTCTGAAGGCAAAAGGGGGTCCAACCCGTTACTAGCATGGGGTACCTAATAAAGTGGCCGGTGAGTGTATATATATATATATATATCGATTAAAAAAACGTTTCCATCATCAGCATCAAGACATGCGCTGAGGCTTAAATCTAAAAATGGAGTGTAAAAAAAAAACGCATCAACTCATCTCATGCTTCAAATCACTTCATGCCAGCTATAACATAGCAATGTTAGCAGATATGAAGTACTCCGCTTACTTTAGCAGAACTAAAAATATCTGCTGCAGACCCACTGTAACAGATTTCCAGCATTTACCAAGGTTTGTTTTTCATTAAGATAAAATCTGTGTTACTGTAAATCTAGTACGGAGGTCGTTCAGATAAGGAGCATGTGAACAATGGCCTACAAGCTGACTTGTGATGGCAGATGGCAGCAGTAAGGGCACAACAGGAGCAGATGTAACCCTGACACCTACCCCATTTGGAGATGACGTGAAGTCACCTGATTCAAGATCAGTCTGTGCTTCTAACAGCTTGAAAAAATACTGCCACTGTGAGAGAAACATTGTGAGGAAGAAATTTGAACGGTACTTAGA